CCCCCTCCGGCTGGCCACAACGCCGACCTTGGGCGCTTGCGCAAGCCGGGGAGGGGAGCCGCCCGCCCGCTCGCCCGCGCCGTCCAGCGGCGTGCAAACCCCCAGGAGAGGAGGGAGGCAGGGAGGGAGGGCGAGCGGCCAGGGTGCGGGTGGGCGAGAGCCCCCTCCCTGCAAGAGGGAGCCCCGCGCCCGCCACGGGTAGGGGAGCGTCGGCGGCCTGCCCGGGGGATGCTGGTGGTGCTGAAGTCCCCGCTTCCTCGCAGCCTTTAAAGGCGCAGGAGCCCCGGCCTCTTCTCCAGGCGGTGGCCGCCGCTCGCCGCGCCTTGCGCTCCTTCCTCCCGAGCTGTTGGGATGCGCGGGATCCTACGCTCGCGGGGACCCGCGCTCCGAGGATTCTTAGTAGCAGGGTGTATTCTAGAAAGCAAGAGGGAGGCTCGGGCGTCAGGCGGTGGCATGGTTAGGACTAGGATCGTCCCCACTCGGTGGGATCCCGGAAAACTGCGCCAGCAGAACCCGATCCTGACGGAGAGGTTCACCCCGCCCCCCTCCCCACCGGACAGGCTGGAATCTCGGTCACGTTTAGTAGCTGCTCGGCCTTCAAAACGTTGCGCGAACAGAAAGAAGGATTACCAGGGTTCACAAAGTCACAGAGCGGCGGAGCTCCCTTGGGGGTTGTTAGCAGTAGAATCAAAGGTTCCGTCTTTAAAGCGCAGCAGTAGTTTTCTTTTCTTTGCTTTTCTCCCTTTGAATTTTGTCTGCGTAGGACCACTCCAAAACTTCACTCCCCCAGCTGCTCAAAAAGTCTCCCAAGTCGATGGGATGCTGTTATAAGAATAACCAAGAAAACAGAAAACAAAAAAAAAAACACAAAACTCCAAAACAAAGAAGCATCGTAGCATCTTTAGGGTGAACAGTTTTATTTCCGTATCACTTTCCGGGCGGTCTGAAGAATCTGGATGGTAATCCATGGGAGCGATTGGGCAATTTCTTCCTTGCAAAGGTGACGCGATTCTTGTGTTTCTGGGTCTTCTTTTATTTCAGTTTTGCTTTGTTTCGTTTCGGTTTTTGCTTGGTTTTGTTTGATGAAACAGACTCGCCCTTACCTCTCTGAAATCGGCTTTTGTAGGATGATGTGAATAGGCCATCTTCATGGTTATCCTTATTTTAGAGTCTCCAGCGTTGAGCAGTCTTGAAAAAATCCTGGATTTGCACATTGATCTGTTTTGTTTTCTTTTTTTGGAAATTCCCAGTTGATACTTTAAAAAGGATTGGGCAGTCTTGAAAAAAACCTGGATTTGCACATTGATCTGCTTTGTTTTTTATTTTGGAAATTCCCAGTTGATACTTTAAAAAGGATTGGCTCTGCGGTAACAATTTGATACATTCGTTTGTCTTTCTGCAACTTTTCCCTGAAGCAAGTGACACACACGTTAATGTTGGTGGGGAGAAAACATTGCTCCTTGGTAATTGATTTCTGCAAGGAGCAAGGTTTGCCAGCTGAAGCCCATGTAGAGATTCTGCTTGCTCCTTCCAGAGGTGGTAATCCAGAAGTAGAACCAAATGTCAATTTTTGTTGTTCTTGTTTAGTTGTTAAGTCATGTCCGACTCTCTGTGACCCCATGGACCAGAGCACGTGACCCCATGGACCAGAGCAGACCAGAGCACTGCCATTTGGGTCAAATTCATGTTAGTTGCTTCGATGACACTGTCCAGCCACCTCATCCTCTGTCGTTCCCTTCTCCTCTTGCTTTCACACTTTCCCAACATTATGGTCTTTTCCAGGGAGTCTTCTCTTCTCATGAGATGGCCAAAGTATTGGAGCCTCAGCTTCAGGATCTGTCCTTCCAGTGAACACTCAGGTTTGATTTCCTTCAAAATGGATAAGTTTGTTCTCCTTGCAGTCCAGAGGACTCTCAAGAGTCTCCTCCAGCACCACACCACAGCACAATGTCAATGATAAGGCATATTTAATTGGAAAAGCTGCCCCACCTCAAAGCCATCTACATCCACTTTTAACCTGTATTAAGAATTGGGCTCATGTCCACCTAAACATAAATGTGTCAATTTCTCTCTCTGAAATTGACCAACATTGTCTTTCTTCCTATACTATATTTACTTTTGATTTCCAATTGTATGCATAGATTTTATAAAAAAAACTGTTCTATGAACAATAACAGAATTATACATTAAAGACCACGGGGGCAGGGAACAGCTAAAGGGCCAGCAAAAATAGAATTAATTGAAGACAGTCTTGTGAGACTTTGTGTTTTAAAGAACCCAAGGCTACCGTATTTTTTAGCAACTTTTTAATTTATCATTTTTTAAAAAAAGATGAAAGCAAGGAGGGGAAAGTTAAAAATAATGAGCAACAAAATAAACATTTTAAAATACAACAGTGTAATGAAAAAGGTATCTACAAGATTCAGCTATGAAAAGCAGCATTTAGGGTCCAGTCCTATAAGCAAGGTCTCTGTTCAAGAGGAGCAGGTCCCACTGAGCAACGGTGATTCAGGAGAAGAAGATACAAAATTGCAGATTTTTGTAGGAATTTGGCCCACTGAAGCCAAGCCAAGCCAAGCCAAAAACTGCAAAAGCAATGTATCACCTTTATGATTAACAAATTTATTTCAGTGTGAACTTTCTTTAGACCTGTGGAACTGAAAGCGATTCCCTTCTGAATAAGACATGTACATATATAAGATGTATACATCCTATGTATACATACAGTACTGTGAAGCTAAGAAGTCAGTTCTAGAGGATCGAACCAGGAAAGTTATTATAAGGAGATCTTCAAATTCCCTGTGTGCATCCTTCTGGGTCACCATGCATAGAATTAACCTTTTAGGAAAGGAGGCTGAGACAGTTTCTTTGCAGAATTGTGGTTTAAAATATATATATTTACCCTTATAATTGTTTTGGGTCTCACTTTTCGTTAGATTCTTAAAATAAATAGCACAGTACATGCCAATACTTTTTAAACAGATGTGGACAGAAGAGAAAATAATCAGGAATTAATAATTTCCAGGTTTTTTTTAGCAATCTAATACTACTAATAATGGGCTGTCAAGTCAGTTCTGACTTACGGTGATCGTTTGGGGGGGGGGGGTTTCCAGGTAGAGAATACTCTGAAGTGGTTGACTATTCCCTTCTTCTGGGAATGCCCTGGGACTGTGCAGCTTGCCCTAGGCCACCCAGGCTGGCTCTACTCACAGGAAGGTACAGTGGGGAATTGAACACCCAACCTTTGGCTCCAAATTCCTAAACCACTTAGCTATCCAACCGGCCTATTAACAAAAGGAGCAACAAAATCACACACACACACACCCCATTATATGGCTGAAGAGAAGAAAGCTTGGGGTAACGGAAGTGCTTTCAGAAGTGCTTCCAATCCTATGTTAGCTGCTTGACCACCGTTCATTTCTAGGATTCTCAAGCTCTGAAATTTGAAGATCTAAGTCTGTGTCTTCGGAATCTCGGGATTCTCAGAAATGTAAAGCAGATGCCGCCAGCTAGACCTCTGCCCACCATTGACTCAAAATAATATTTTCCATCCAGAAGAGGGCAAAAGAGAGCTTAAGAAGAGAAGAGGGATCAAACTTTGCTGGCCAGCCTCGTGTAACATGAGGGGGTGAACGGGTGCCAAGAGGACTCAGACCAAAATAGATTACATTTTGGAAAACATGTCCCTCTCCACCCTACGTTGGAGAGAGTGTGCTACTTCTCGTGGCTCTGCACCAAATATATTTTTAATGGAGGCAATGATCTATTTGAGGCTTTCATGTTGGGGGGGGTGTGAGGATGGCTGTAAAGATACCACGGTGGGCTGGAAAATGACCTACTTCAAGCAACAAGGTTGGTGTTTGGCTGGCAAGGAGAGAAAAATGTGAAGCCATGTTTTTAGGAGGTGAAGGTGGAGAGTGAATGTTTGGGCTGGAAATTAGCCAAAAAAAAAAGTCTGAGCCTTTCGACAGCTGCTGTGATGGGGCAACCTACCTTAACAAAAAACGACAAGTGATTCTGTCAAAAAGGTCACAGGGGTGTCACCTAAATGCCAAAGTCCACACATCAGTTGATCCTGTGGGGAGGGATGTCAGAGAGACCCAGACGTGGTAGGGGTTACTTTTGGCTTGTTGTTGAGTTTGCTATTATCAGAATTTTGAGATGTTCCTTTCTTCGATTGCACTGGCTAAGGACTTCTGGGGGTTGTAGTCTTTCTTCCAGTTGCATTTCCAAGCTCTGATGCTGTAAGTGTATTTTTATCTTGAGGTGCACAGAGTTAGCTGCTTATGGATTGCTGTTCAAAATGTTCGGAAGCTAAGTAGAATGACATATCCCTCTGCTCCTAGAGAATTGACATGACAGCACATGATGGTGATGATTGTTGTTGTAAAATAGGAGGTACAGTCAATCAGCATTATAAAAAACATTGATTGGTATTGTATAACAGATACTGTACAAGTTTTAACCAGAAACCTAAGTATCTGTTGAGTATCAGCAGAGTATGTATGCTGTTCCTAATACTGCCGTTTTTTGCAGTTCTGATGGTGTTATTTCTGAGATCTGCAACTACTTATAATACTGTGTGAAATGTCTTGATACTGTTCCCAAAGCCCCAATGACTACGGGGACTGCGGACGTGTGTTTCATCCACAAGCGAGATGTTTCTATTGCCAGGTTTTTGTACTTTGTTAGTTTTTCCAATTCTTTATCTTCAACTCTGGCATCCCCTGGAATTGCAATGTCAATGATCCAGACATTTCTCCATTTTATTACTCCTGTGCCTGGTGTGTTATGTTCAAGGTGTCTATCAGATTGGATCTGGAAATCCCATAGGATCTTGATGTCATCAGTTTCTGACACCTTCTCTACCTGATGTTCCCATGGGTTTTTGGAGGCTGGGAAGTTCTATTTTTTGCATAATGACCAGTGCACTATTTTTGCCACCTGATCATGTCTGATTCTGCAATCTGTTTGTGCAGTCTTTGGACATTTGCAGTTGAGGTGTGACACAGTTTCATCTTTTTCTTGGCAGAGCTGACATTTGCTGTTAGCATTAATTCTTTGGATTTTAGCTTTCCTCACATTGGCTTGGAGTGCTTGTTCTTGTGCAGCAAAAATCAAACCTTCGGTTTCTTTCTTAAGGGCCCCCAGTTTTAGCCATGCCCACACTGAATTATAATCATGCTTTCCATCAATATTTCTCAGGTGCTGTCCATGTAGTGGTTTATTTTTTTCCAACTGTTTAATTGGTTTTCAATTTATTGTTTCTTATGATGAATTTTTCTTTCTGTTGTTTTCCATTTTCACTGCCTTTTAAATTTTTTTCTCTACTTATACTAATATAATCATCTGCTTTTTCTCTACTTATACTAATATACACTAATCATCTATTTTTTCTCTACTTATACTAATATAATCACCTAGGCTTCTTTTTTGCTCCTCTATTACCTGTTGTATTTGTTGAAATCCACGGCCTCTGATTTTTTGTGGTAAATATAATCTGTCGGCATCACTTTTTGGATATAGTGTGTGATGCATGTTCATTAGTTTCTGTGTTTTCCAATCCAATTCTTCTCATTCATTTTGAACCCAGTCTATTATTGCACTTATAAGTTTAGCCACTGTAGCATCTTCAAGCATTTTCTCTTTCCAATCTTCTGTTGATGGGTATGTCTCCATTTTCCAGTTCTTAGCCATTATTGGGTATTTATAATTTTCATTACTTGATAGTGATTCTATAATATTGCTATTTTTAAACTCTGTTCCATCTAGTTTTTTGATCTTGCCACGGTGTATAGACAGAGCCCATTTGTCAATTCCAATTTCATTTGGATATCTTCACTAAATATTCACACTGTGTTTAGCAGTGATTCTGTCTCTGTGGAACTTTTTAAATCTGATTTTAGGTCATCCATGTATAACAGATTATTGATTTTGCCTGCTTGTACTGAAATATAGTACTCTAATCCAGTTTTATTTAAAATTATTGACATGGGAATTAATGAGACGTTAAAAAGCAATGGTGACAAAATCCCCTTGGAATATTTTCCTTTGATGCTCACTTGGCCAATTTTTTTCACCAAAGGCTGTTAAGACAATGGTAACTGTGCTATAGATAAGCTGGTTTATGTCCTTTGGCGTGTTGGTTGGGATTGTCATGACTGCTCCATTTGCATCTGTCAATAGATCTTTTACTGGTTTACTTTGTAATTGGTGCAAAATGGGGTGCCTTTGTCTTTCTGTGTTTTGGTTAATACAGGTTTCTATTTTTCCCCTCAACAATGTCTGCCGTTCTGTCAACTCATGAATTTTAGGTTGTTCCATAAGTTGTTCCTCTATTGACACATCTTCTTTCACTATTGTGTCTACCTCTACCCTCCATTTGTCTTCCATACTATGGTCATTGTTTTGTGTTGATTTTTCTTTTGCTACCTTTTCTAGTTCTTGAAATTCTAGTTTTGAAAACATTTTCCTCCAAATGATAAACTGTCTCTGGTCCATTAATTGTTGTTCAGTTATGTTACTATTCAGGTGTTTTCTTTTCCAAATATCTATCATTCTTTTTTTGAAAACCACAAGCTGTTGGGTTTGCCTTGTAATAGCATTTCATAATTTCTTGATTTTTGATGGTAGTTCAAGTTTTGCATTTACGTTGTTCCAGTAGCTTTGCAGCAACCTGCACTGGTTCCTCAACAAGGGTCTGCTGAGTCCTGTAGCCCATTTGTTATCAGATTTCCAGGGACTATAGCATCTGACATGATCCTTGTTGACCCAGATGATGACCGAGCTGGTATAAATTTCTGTTTATTTCCTCTCATCGTAATTGATGGTTGGTGGACAAAATTGGTCTGGCTTCTTAGCTGAGACCTGTCTGGCTTGGGAGACCCTTCAGTTAGCAACACAACCACCAACATAGCTCTCAGCCTCATTGAAGCATAAAAGCCCCTCTGCCCCAACGAGGCCTGTATTCATGGAGGGGACAATGATGGTGGTGATGATATGGCCCTGCACTCTATTTCACTCCAAAACCACAACTCCTGGAGCCTTCCAAGAACTGTGGAAAAGATCGTTATTTAGTAGTTGATTACCAGGTTTGAGGAGCAGGACACATGCGGCCCCTCCGTTATGTCTTGCCCGTCCACAATATAGACTCCGTCTCTGTATCATCGAGCTAAACATCATCACATAGGGAAATGGGGGGTGATGGAAAGGCTAATTCTCAGAGGCTAATTCTTGGAAGGCTAATTCTCAGAAAGGCCCTTCTCAGAGCATGGCTGTGAATGATGGGACGTAGTCCAGCGAGTCCACAGTGCTGCTCGGCTTCTGGTCTGTGCTGTCCCTCTTGGCTTCTCTCCAGGGACCTTCCGACGATTCTTGGAATTGGAGATGGTTGGGAAACATACCCGGCAGAATCCCATCCCTGGTCTGTCTGGGAGCAAAGTCATATATATAGCAACTCCCTGACAGCTAAAGAAAGTTTGCAGGCATT